AGCGTCGCCTAGTGGCACTGAGGGGGAAGCCAATCGCCAGCTCCTCACCTACTCCGGAGTTTCTGCGGAAGCCTTTGAGTGAAGAGGAGGCAGAGACTTTGCAGGTGGATGAGTTTCTCGATGCCCATGGTGATGGCATGGACGATGAGGCAGGCCTTTTTGTGTAGATGGAGGGTTGCTGAGCGAATGTTGAGTCGGAAACCGTCGGGCAAGTTACAAAAACATATAACAAACTTCCGCAAAAAACGGACCTTTCACAAGTCCTGGTTCTTTGAAGTTGTCTTGATTGGGAGTGTGTGCAGCCATTTTGTTTGAAGGGTGGTTCAATTCCTTGCCATGAAGAGACCAGCGTGCAAACGTCCAGCGGCTTGCATGAAGCGACCTTCTCAAAGGACTGCAAGGGTCGCTGGGAGTTGTGATTGGAAAGGGCCGCTGGGAGATGGGATGAGGAAGCATGGCATCGTTGTGTGACCGTTGGCCTTTCTCAGCGTGACACATAATACATCAAATGGGGAATGAATAGTAGTTGTTTCAATATATTAATTAGTAATTAAAGATTGCAAGCGTTGCAAAACCAACTGGTTGAGGACTGAGGAATTGCAAATAGCAAACCAACTAATCCACAGTTCCTAACAACTTTTTACTGGGTTGTACTTTGCAATGCCGCCTTCAACGGAGCTGAGCAAGCTGATGGCTACCCGATGCAGTTGTTCTTATGGGAAATGCTTCCAGCAATTTCGAGGCCGAGAGCAGCAACTGGCAAACCTTCGCAAAGACTTTAATGGGCTGAGCGATCAGCGTAAGGATGCCTGTTGTTTTATTGCAGGTTTGGGATGTTGATTCAGGATTTGTTTTGTTACTTATTATGTCAAGGTCTCGGTTTTTTCTCCATCCATGGTTGTTCTGAATGATTGTTCTCCAGACGTCCAGACCTGTCTTTAGTCCAGCAAGCATAATCACTAACCAAGGAACAGCTACTGCGTGAGTGGTACAACATTGGTTTGGCAGACCGCTTCAATTTGCAGGAATCTGCTGCAAGTGAGCCTGATGCCCCTGATGTACTTTTAGAATCAGAGGATGAAGGTCCAGTTTTGTATGAAACCAGTGATTCCAATGATGCTGGGGAGCCCCAGGTCAGTGAGTCAGACGCAGAGCTTTTGGAGACATCTTCGGAGGAGGACCGAGGACCACCTGAACCCCCACAGAAGAGGAGACGATATACTCCCAGAAGAGGATCACAATTGTTCATCCTGGAGCTGCCTGTTTGTGTCCATGCTCACAAACGAATCTACGCAATAGGATCTGGAGCTTTGCAAAACCTCAGGTCTCACATGGCAGGGTACACAAAGCGAGAAGATCGTTTAGCAGAGCCCAAGCACCCGACACTGGGAGTCTCGCTACGGCGCAAGACGACCAGCTATAAGTGGCCAGATGTCTTGAGTTTCTTTTGGCTCTTATACATCTCGGCCGCAGAGATTCTCCCCACCAAGATGGTCATGCCAAGTGAGATATTCAAAACTGGAAGCAAGTCCGTGGTCATGGAAGATGACTTTGAAGACAGATATGTCAGCAGCTTCATGCAGAATCTGGAACTTCAATGTGATCCAATGAAAGCTGCACACGTGGGCCCTGGAAGTTTTCAAGGGCCTCAGCGGTATCTTGAGTGGTCCACCCCTTCAGACCTCTACCTTCAATACGCGGCAATCAGTGAATCAGAAGGCAAAACACCTGCTGGGTTTACAACGTTTATGAGAACATATAGAGGAGTGATGGGCAAACATTTGAAATTTAGAGGGAAGAATGAACATGCACAATGCTCTGTATGTTTCCATCTACGTCTCAAGATCAAAAAAACCACAGGAGCTGCTCCAAAGAAGGAGGCCACAAGAAATTACACGCGGCATCTCTTGAGCCAATGGCTCGACCGACAATGTTATTGGTCTAGCAGGCAGTTGAGCAGAACATTTTTCACTAGCAGTCTGGTGACGAACATCAGCTGGCAGTCAAGTTTATGCTGCTGCATTATTGACGGCATGGACCAATCTAAACTTCGGCTGCCAAAGTGGGGGCGGCAGCGGATCAGCAAGAACCAGGAGCTTTTGTTCCGTCCAACTACACACTTGGCGGCGTGCTGGATCCATGGCTACAAAACATACATCGCAATAGCAGATGAAAATACCAAGAAAGACAGTGAGACACAGTCCGAGATTATCATGAGATCATTGTCAGACCTGCACTCAAACCATTCCACCATGCCGCTCGGCCTGCACACGCAGGCCGACAACTGCTTCCGCGAACAGAAGAATCAATATATATTCAAAATGAACCTCCTCCTCGTTGCGATTGGAGTATTCAGATACACCATCATGTCGTTTTTGAGAACGGCTCACAGTCACGAAGACATTGACCAACTATTTGGTCAAGTGGCAAGGCTATTTGGAGGCAAGACATTTGACTGTCCAAGCGACATGATAAAGCTCCTGAACAGAGTAAGCAGGAATGCTGAGTCGTCAGGCACTTCGAACGCCAGGTTGAGCAGCGCTGTGGCCTACAAGTTGGACCAAGTAAGCCGATGGAAAGAGTTCGGAGCGCAGACTGCCGTGAGCATCCACGGGATGCGAAGGGTACATTACTTTCGCATCTGTCATCGTGCAGACATCGGTGCGGAGACTTTGAGCCGCGTGTCACAAGTGGAGGACTTCAATGTGGGTCGTGTCCAGCCTCATGCAAACGACCTGTTCCTTGTAACAAAGAGATGGATGCATGATACATCTGTTAGTCGTGTGATTGCAGTCATGACGGCCAGTACCGCAGAGAAGCTTCGTCAAGGCTTCTCTGCTCCATCTGGATTGGCTGGACGAAGAGCGATTGGAGTCAAGGTGAGACAGAACATCATGACTCGCGTGCCCAAGTTGAGACAAGCTGGGGAACTTTCCGAGCAAGCCGCAAACTATTTGCTGTCCTGGACCGCTGGGACGCTGCACCAACATGCCAAGCCAGCTTCGTACAGCATTCTTTCATACAGGCACGATCCAAGTCTGCGAAGCGAAGCAAGGAACCCTGGAACATGGGTAACCCCTGCACGAAACAAAAGACTGGATGTCTTTTTACCAAAGCTCACAGAGGGTGATGATGCTAGCAGTGATGATTCCAATGACGAGGACAACGCGCCTGTTGACTTTCCTCCAGACAGTGGGCCTTGAAAAGGTGTGTCTGCTTCACCGAGCCATCATTATGTTTTTACCGGAGGCATACATTATTATGTTGTTTGTTTTCGGCGCTCCTGAGTCCAAGGTCACAAGTCTGTAGGTGCTAATTTGTTGGTGAGGACTTAATGGTGATCAGGTTGTTGCAAACCATGGTGTGGGGCATTTTGGGGCCAAACGCAGGCCAAAAGCATAAATATATAGACACATGGGGCACTGGGTAGCGATTTTTTGCAGGACAATGGATACTTACTGTCATTTCCAGATGTGGTTTGAGGCGTTTGAAGGAAATGATGTTGCCCAGAAAAATAGGTTCCCCAGTGATGTTTTTCACGGACCACTTCCCTCTCTCGCAGGAGGGACGAAGAGATTCCAGACGATGCCATCTTGATGGAATCAGACCCTGAAGCCGAGAAAGGCACACTAGGGTTGCCTTGTTCTTCAAATCAGTTAAGATAAGTGAAGGCATAAGAAGGGAGGCATCAGGTCAGGTCAGGTCAGTTCAGTCAAGCTTACCCTACGTTCGGCCTCTTTCCTCGCTTGTCAGGTGTGGCAGACGGCGCGACTGACATCATGCTCGAGTCGGATAATGAGACCAATGATCCTTCAAACGAGGTTGAGAGCGGGGGGGGAACCAATCACTCATGGGTGGATACGTCCAGGACTCTATCCTTCCCATCGCCAGATGCACCTCGACCTGTTTGTCCATGCCTTCACAAAGACTTGCTCATTTCAATTTTTTTCATGCATCCACCACCACCCCAACACCAAGGGTTGACATCAACTCAGGTGGGAGAGTTCGCGGAGAACTTTGTTCACAACCGCCATTTTGCTTTGCTGCGGTCAAAGTTGGGGAACGTCCTGCAGCACACAGATCACATCCGGGTTGGTAGTTGCTGCTCAGGGTGGGGATGCCTTGAAATGGTTCTTGAAGAGCTAGAACCACACTAGAATGATGCACATGAAGGATGGCAATTGAAGGCTAGGCTGTTGGAAATCATTTTGACACCTGGCTTGTTGAATGGAATTTCACGATGATAACAGATTCTAGATTCAAATCAAACACAGTGGCCTCAGGTGGACCTCAAATTCATGGTTGAAAACGACCCACCCAAGCAGAAGTATTTGCACACCCGGTTCAAGAAGCTTATCTTCAAGAACATGGAGGACATGGGCAAGGAGAGTGCTAGCACCTATGGGGATCCTGGCCATGCGACCATACCTCAGGCAAGACCAATTCAATCCTTCTAAGTTCTGATCATTCAATTCATAGTTGGAAAAAATATCCCAGGCCCAGTGATGTATTATGAAATAAGAAGTCAACAATACATTAATTTATAATATACAGACAGTATTTGTTGCTTTTGAGGCAAGTTCATCACAGAAGTTTACAGCTTTGGGCATGCACAATGCACAATTGTCAGGTGGATCTGCTTTGCGCCGGCTTCCCGTGTAAATCAGTCTCTACACTGTCAACGACGCCCGGCAGCGTGGTGGACTCATCATGCACATCCGGGATTGGCTGGCTTGGGGTGGAGAGTTATGTTCGCCGTCACCGTCCTCCCCTTCTCTTATTGGAGAACGTGAAGTCTTTGTTCTCTGAACGCAAAGTGGAGAAGGGTGTGTCAGCGCAGCTAGCCATCTATTCGGATAGATTTTGTATGATGGGGCATTGATTAAAGTTTTACTAGGAGGATGATAGAGGATGCAAACAACGCCTCATACTCTTTTCTTACTTTAAGAGCGCTCAACCCTAAGTAAGCTCCTCCTGTCAGCACGCTAAGGTATGAGCACATGAAGGACGCCCTGACAAAACTTGGCTACCAGGTTGAGGCCATCATAGCCAATGCAGCGCACTTCGGATTGCCACAGCAGAGAAATCGAGCATGGTTGATGTGCACACTCAAATCCGAGGCCGCAAACAGCGGTGAAGTCGTCAAAGATGTGCGCCTTTTTCAGTGCAAACCTTTCAGTCTCTCATCATGCCTTTTGGAGGGTGGCGGACCTTTGGAACCCAAACCAAAGGCCAGAAAGACCAATCACCCGGGATCCTCTCAGAAGGAGCCTAGATGGAAGGAAGGCCTTGATGAGCAATGTGATATCCTCGGTAAGGCAGATTGGGCTTTGCATTGAATTGTTTTACTATTATTTTGTGTTTTGTTACAATCAGTTATTATTCATTCATCAAAGCTCGCTGACCAAGGAGAAGGTTCACAAGCGCATCAAGCAGATACGGCCAATGGTGCCAACCTTGACCGAGCGCGAACTGAGTATCCTGGCTTGTTCCATGGAGGAAATCTACCAGAAGAAGAAGGTGGACTGCATGCATTGCTTGGTCTGCATACAAGTCGCCAGATGCCCAGTCAACCATTAATTTTACTGTAATTTGTGAGGCATTGGAACATCCTGACTGAATGTGTCTACCAGCCTGGTTTGAAGGAAATCACAAAAGGTTTGACTTTGCATGCCCAATACAACACAGCAAGACTCTCTTGCACGGATTGAGGACCAGAACTTCGCCCGGCAAAACTACTCCAAATCATCGCTGGACACAACGACGTGCCTGATCCCGGGAGGGAAATATGTGCTCACTGGGCCGAATGGGTTCAGAATCCTTCAGCCGCAGGAGGGGCCTTCCAATCAAATAGTTGGCGACATTGGATCGTTTGTTACATTGCGGTTGTTGGGTTGCCATGCTAGCTTGGTTTTACTTATAGTCAGACTTTGTTCCCTTCAATCACACTAGGAGATGGCAGCATTGCAGGGAGTTGGCCCTAGGGCCTGGACCAAATACCAGATGGCAGACGTTCCTTCTCGGCTCATGCGGGACTTCATCGGAAATGGGTAGCTTGGCTTAGGAGGGGGTGGGGAAGATTTAACATTTAATCACGAAATCCAAAAATTGTATCTTGATATGTTTTTGATGTTCATCCTTTTGAGCGGATGGGTTCAGCACGTCCAAGGTTCGCAATCCCTGTGAACCTGGCGTGCCTGGTGTCCCTCCTGGCCAACTGGACACCGGAGAAGGTGAAGATAACCAAGGGTTTTGTAGTGGATGCAGCGGGCTGGTAGATCAAAGCTTTTGCCTGTCAACAAGATTTATTATATACAATATGATGCTAATACTATGATCTATTGATGTTCAAATGATGTTGATGCCGTCTTAGTGGGATAATTTCAGACTTGCTGTCACTGTCAGGGCAGGCAGGAGTTTTTTTCCCAGGCCTTGGATCAATTCAGATTTGCTAAATTAAGCAGCTAGTCGTGCTCAATGGGCAGCAAGAAATGCAACCGAAGCTTGCAGTTGAGGCCTGAAATCAAGTTCATGGGCTGGCATGTGAACAGGCAGAAGGTGTGAGGCAGTGCTTTTACTTTAGACCTTTTTGGGGTCCAAGGAGAGCCCAATACCTGTTCCTGTCTCATGGCGCCTGCGCGTAAACGTCAGAAGGTTGCCGCCAACCTGAAGAGCAATCCCCTTGCGTCCATGGAGGACGTGTGCAAGGTGCGCCTGTGCCTTAAGGACTGGATCAATGACCTGTACGACATGCGGCACGGGCTGCCTGAGAGTGAGAAGCGGGCCTGGCCAGTGGAAATGGGCGGATCGTTCCAGACCATCGTCCAGCGTGCATGGAGCGATATGGACACCCTTTTGAACGACAGCCTCAAGCTCCTGAAGTGCGTTGGCCTTGTGGATGATTCTGCAGACCTTTCCCATATGGAGAAGTGGCTCAAGATGAAGGAACGGGAACGGGGGTTGAGGGAGAAGTCTTACAGTTTTCAAAAGGTTCAACATTTAAGTTAGCGACAAAATATACTATATCATTTTGAGATCATGACACTTTGTCCTATGTCCAGGACTTTCCTCCTCCGACGGGAGCTTTCACTACCACTTCCATACTCCACTGGAACTTCGATGAATGCAGCTTTTGGAGGATCCCTGACCAGGCAACGGTTCTGGACATATCAAAATCCATAGCTTTGTCTGGCTGGCGCGAGGCCTGGTCTTCTGGGAGATTCTGCGAGGGTACTGTCACTGGCTAGGGTTCTGCTCTCCACCTTTGGCACTTCATGTCCGGCGTCAGGGTGGAGAGCACTTCTAGGAAGTGCTCGCCGCCACCAATAGTGGTGGCTATACTAGAGATATCGTTATTTTTTTTTCCCTATGCCTGGCCCAGACAATGGGGTTGGGGTCATGTAACAAACAAAGAAAGGGGGTGGAGAGCACTTCTAGGAAGTGCTCGCCGCCTTCACATACTCAGCAAGCAGTTCAAAGTGGAGAGGGAAAGCTCAAACAGGGAGGAAGGATGAGGAAGGGTTCCATAAAATAGAATGAGATTCAAAACCTTGACGCGGGTGGGTGGAGAGCACTTCACGGAAGAGCTCGCCACCCAAGCCCCCAAAAGCAGGTCGGTTTTGCTCGCCACCCCCGTTTCCCGGATTTGCTCGCCACCCCCGGTTCCCGGATTTGCTCGCCACCCCCGTTTCCCGGATTTGCTCGCCACCCCCGGTTCCCGGATTTGCTCGCCACCCCCGGTTCCCGGATTTGCTCGCCACCCCCTATTCCCAAATTTACTCACCACCATTTGATTTTCTAGCCACCCATTGCCATGTCCTGTATGTGAATGCTTTCTCCCTGGCAGGGCGAGATCTTGGGCATGCGCGTGGATCATTTGGAAGCCGATGAAGATGACTACACTGGCTCCTTGTACTTTGATGATGGAGGTATGAGAGGTCTCAGCGCAGCAGTCTGCTGGATTGGCCTTACGTACCGTTGCACCCGGGAGCCTGCTGAGGAACTTCGGCATCCTTCCCTCAAGCAGCTTGTGTCTTCCTTACTTTGCTTACCATCGATTCACAAGACACAGACAAATGACCCAGCAATGGCAATGGTGCAGCGCATTATCAAACAAAACGTGGATGCCAAGAAACTGCCGGTCAGCTCATTTGAGTGGAGCCAGATCCTCAGCAAGATCGCCAAGAATGTCTCAGTGGCAGATGCGATCAAGCTTTACAACAACGCGCCAGAGGTTCATGCACATGGCGGGTGCGGCTCCTCGAAGGACCCACTGGGGGCAAAAGTTACCTGCTTCAGACCTGGCTGTTTTTCCCTTAAAGGCGAGAAAACATTAAGGGTGCCCCAACCATGTGTAAATAAGATTCAGCCACAATTCTTTCCCAAGTTCACTTCCCAACCATCATTGCACTTTTAACAGGAACGCAGTGGCTCTGGAAGTCTATGGATTGATGGGAAGAAGACTTGGGCCATCAAACACTGGTTGGAGCAAACAGGAGAGGGTGCGTTGGAGGAAGTTTGCATTTCTCTACGGGACATGCCCTTTCAGTTCGGCCCATGGGGCGAAGTGCTTGCACAATACAAGTTCCTGTTTGTGGGATCGGTGGTGAACTTGAATTCATCTCAAGCCACCGAGGCGCATCCAGCTTATGACGAGCCCACAGTTACGGTGGACTGGAGCCTGAAGCTCAGCGCGGAGGCGCAAGCCAACTTGTTCCACAGGATTCGATTGCACTTTGATCAATCCACATGCATAGTGGATGACGTCAAGGAGAAGCGCAAGTACAGACAATCGGAAGAAGACCTCCTCATGGTGCGGAACGTGCTGGCCCTGTGGGATCAGATTAGAGATTTTTGCTCCCCTAGGTTGACTTCCTTCACAGAGATGGACAGGGCTCTGCGGACCAACAACCACAAGGATGCAGACCTGCGGGAGATCATTGAACAGCGCCCCTTCCAATTCGCATTGTCGATGTTGCCCTGTGCACGGGCTGAGGCGCTGAAGCAGGTCAAGGAACAAGAGCAGCATGCAACCATGGAGGTTGACCGTCAGCGTTTAGAAGTCCGTGAAGCTCGCTGGAAGTTCTTCCAAACGGCTCTGGCCAAAGACCAGGCGGTCCTACAGCAGCTGAAGGCTGCCCCGGCCAAGCTGAAAGCGCTTCGGCACAGGAAGATCATGCAGTGGAAGCACCAGGAGGCAGAAAAGGGGGAGAAGATTGTGCAGAACTACATGTCCACCTACCTACGTTGTGAGCTGGTGGAGCGGATGGAACATGCGCAGCTTCAAGTGAATGAGTTCAGGGCTTTGGTGGTTTCTAGCCTGCATCTTCCATTGCCTTTCTCGGGTGGATCCCTTGGGAGATTTGGGGTGGGTATGTTTTGCAGCCATTGATTCATCTATAATTCAGCAAATTGCAGCAATTATTACATATTCAGCAAAAGGTTGGTACCCAGTTTCCCCAGTTGCAGCACTACCAGATGTTCCAGTGAACAATTTATCTAATTGTAAATTGTATGCTAAAGGCGCGGACACTCAGGCTTCACATTGTTTGAGGAATTAGTCGACCTTGGATGAAACTGGGGGCGCCATGGGGTGAATCAGTATAAAGGAATTGGGGGCGCGCATCGTTTCAAGTTTTTTGAGGGTGCAGCCTTGCCTTCCAAAGTTTAACCTTGGGCAGGGTTCGTTGGGATCGGCTGAGGCTGGAAAGTGTGAATGCAACATCATGGACATCCACATGGTGTCCCTTGTGGATCTCAATGTGCCCTTCGCGAAAGCAAAGGAGAACTTGGATGAGCTGTGCAAGATGGTGCAATTCATCAATGACATTTCTCCAGCCACCCACTGTGCAGTCATAGAGATTCCACAAATGGCCAAAAAGTCCTCCAAGAGAGGCATCTGTGACGAAGAGGCTGACCTCCAGCAGAAGTTGTGGGGCCTTCGCCAGGTGTGCGACGATAGATGGTTTCTACCTTTTGACCTACAACCATCGGCAGAGAACAATTCCAAAGGGAAGCGACTCGTTTGTTTCAAGTGGGTCGCGAGATATTTTCACTGTGAGGAAACTATCTGTTTGTGCTATCTATAACTGTTCACGGGGCATGACTCAGATCTTATTACTTTTCACCGGGGGGAACGCCACATGGTTTTTGATCAGTTCGTGATGTCTCAAGCGTCCTGTTGAGGCGATTCCAGCAGGGTCGCCTTGCAGTCAACAAGGATGCCGAGGACAAGAACATTTGGTTGCTGCATTCAGAACTCGGAACGGCCGGAAGGCCACTGTCAGAGGATCGTGTCCTGATGCCTTTGAGCCGGGAGTTGGTGCTACCAGAAGCCCTGGGAGCTGATGATGGCATTCGAGTGGCAGAGCGGCAACGGCCAAGTCCAGAGACCGTGTGCACTCAGAAGGGCAAAGACCGTTGGCGAGTGCTGTTGAGAAGCCTATGCACGATGAACGGCTACGACCTCACCAACAAGCCAATCATCATCCTCAACTGGACTGGGTACGTTGAAGACGCAGGATGTGCGGCTACTTGCTTTGAGTTGGAATCAATTTGTAGTTGACTGATTTTCCTCCTTAGCTGCTTTTGAAGCTGCACTGGATGCCCTGTCTTGTATGAGATGTCAGTCAATTCTCATTTGCATATAGTACGGGTTGGTGCCTTTAATTGCCCTTAAGATCCTTTAAGATAAAGAGTGATTCTAAATTTTACAGTTTACAGTCAGTTGACTGAGGCTTTTGATTTGAGGCTGAAGGATGAGAAGCTGCCAGGAGGCTTCCAAACCGGGAACCTCTTTTATCACTCCATTTCGTGGCTTTGCAAAGACCAGTTTGGAGCAGCACGTTTGCTTCGGGATGTTGCGGACGGCTGGGTGGCGGAGAAGTTCCAACACTGTGGCCAGAAATTCTCTCGAGAGGAGCCTGTCCTCAGCCAGGCCGAGATCAACAACATCCCAGGTGCTGCTGCCCATTTAGGAGGCCTTGACTCCATACAGTTCACAATGCTGGAGCGCGTGCAGGACCGAATGATGATCAAGAACGATGAACATATCTACTGGACCTCACAGCTTGGCCAGTACGCGGACGACTACCAGAAGCTCTGGGACCACCACCTTGACATTATCGGTGGTGACTCCGCCAGCGCTTCAGAACCTGCGGCCACTCCTGCCGGAGCAAGCGAGGCATCGGAGGTTCCCAATCAACCTTCAGAGAATGCGAATGGATCACAGGCCTTTGAAACAGTGGAGTCTGTGGAGAAACTCACAGAGCAGTGTGGCGGCTTGGCTCATCGGACAGCTAGCGAGGTCAGTGGGGTGGAGATCCTCATGATGAAAGATGAGTCATTTTGGCTTGTGGCCCCAACGGGAAACAAAACTGTTCCTCGCCACAGTCAGATTGGGGGATTTGGGACAGGGCAATACCTTCCAACGGCCAATGAGGAGCCGGGCTTGGAGTTCAATTTGACCGATGATTCAGCTATAGTGCAGCTGGACATGTCAACCTTCAGGACAGATGGCAGTGGCATCTCCACGATGTCCCTCTACAAGATGCTGCTGTTGGCAGAACAAGAGAAGAACATCACAAGCCTCTCTGTCTCGTGGCTGAAAGTCACGCGCAAGGCAGACGCTGCTGTGGAGGCAGGGACCGATGGATTTGAGATCAGCATCAAGCAGGCCATGAAATTTTGTAAGGCAAAGGACCCCCGCACTGCGGCAGAGGACAGCCGTGTGAACTGTAAGAATATATTCGGCCAGAAAATGAATGCAGTCACCTCAAGCAAAATAGTGGCCAAGTGTTTCCGATTTCGGTTTGAGAGAGTGGGGGGCACCTTCAAAGTGCAAAAGCCCTACTTGATCTGCACAACTGGTGTCTGTCTTGAGAAGGGGAAGCCTCTCAAGATCTCTGCATAGGGGGAGCGCAGCAACCTTCATTGCCCTTTTGTTGTCTACTTCATGCTCAGGGTCAATGCTTTCCATCACAAGTTTGGATGACTTGAGGTAGTTGCGCAACCCAGGCAGACTCTCTATAGTTGCACAGAGTCGTTCTTTGACAATCATTGTGTTTGCTACTAAACTATGTGTAAAAATTAGCGTTAAACTTCCAGCTCAGATCTGTCATGTTTGTGCATCAGGGCTCTAGGGTGCAACAGCTTTTGATGCCTGGGCCACTGCAGGGTAAAGCCATAGCCGCTTGTCGTTTTTGAATGGGGCAGTAGCATACAGTGAAACTGTATGCGCACAGACTGGGGGACGACTTGGTTTAAACATTGATACATTTTATACATTCTGTTAACTGGCTATCAAATTGCGAGGATGTTTCAGTTTGTTTGTTTATATGGGTTGCCAAGTCATTGGACAAGTGAAGGGCTTGCAGCCTTGCTAGGGGTCCACCGAAAGACAGCCACCGTGGAAAAATGCATTGGGCAATGGCTCAGAGAGCAGCAGCCTTGGAGTTGGGTTTGGGGTTGGGACTGCAGAGGCCTCATGCACCTTGATTGGATGGTCCTAACTTTAGGTGTTTGGAGAAGTGCTACAAAATAATTGACCGACAGATATTTTTGGCTAGGATTACAATTTGTAGCCTTTGTTCATGGCGGCGCCTCAGCAGCTCGAGCGCACAGATGTGCAGAGGTTCTATGAGATGCTGGTGGGCAAGTGTGGCCTACACTTAACTCAGGAGATGGCAGAGATGTCCTTCGAGCTTGTGAGAGAGCAACTCTTGGAGATTCAGACCAATGCCTTGTACTGTGACTTGGAGGATGACGTGGCCCAGATCCGTGCCGGCATCCAGCTCTTCACCATTGTGCGAAACCTTTCCAGGATGGAGGTCGCTGATATTGCCCATGCTTGGGTTGGTGTAGATGCTGGTTCAGGTCGAATACCTCGACCAGAAAAGTACTTCTTTGACCGGTTGCGTTCTGTGGTTGCTTCTGAGGGCACCGCCAGAAGATGGAAATGTCAAATCAGGCTGTCCATTCAAACATTGAACGGCATCCTGCAGATTTGTAGCCATGATTTAGATTCCAGCAGCGTGAAGGAGGTCTTAGACTATTTGAGAGAACTCTTAGCAGACCTGTACTCGCGCCTGCCCTAGATTTAATTTGACTGGATGTGTGACAGTGCCAATTGCATCAAATTAATAAGAAGTGGCAGCTTACAGTAAATTAAAGTTGACAGATCCTCAAATTCGGCATTGGGACGTTTGTTTGGGATGCCGGGAAAAGGCTGCCACCTTTGAGCGGCTATTGTGATGTTGCCGTCTTACGTTCGACATGTGCATTCATTCTAGGCTGGAGGCCTGAAGGACAATCATTGCATTGAGGGTTTGGGATCAAGTATGTTCAAAGGGGTTGAGGGTTGGTGCACTTAAAACGAATTCTGGAGGCAGAGTTGGCCCAAGATTTTTTCCAGCATTTTCCTGCCCAATGATCACATTAAAGTCTGATGTTGATGTCCAGGGCATTATCTTGAGTGGCCTTGGGCAAACTCGGACTCCTCCACGAGCATCACCACGTGCTTCCAGTGCTTCTGGCAGTGGGCAACACAGTGGCTCACATCCACGTGGGATCTTGAAGTCTTCTCCTGAGCAAACCCCGGTTGACCCAGAAAGAGAAGACGATACCACGGCCACAGGTGTCAAAGGTCGCGGTCGTGGTCGCGGGCGAAGTCGCGGTCGTGGTCGTGGTCGCGGCAAAACGAGTGGTGAGGATGATCAGACTGAGACTGGTGATCCAGGCCTGGAAAGTGTTGTCCCTGATGTTTCTTGCATTTTCTGCCTTTTTCAGATGGATGGATCAAATTTTAATTCACCGGTAATGCATTGATTGGATTGTTCGCTGGTTTTAAATCAAATTTGAACCTGGCAGGTGCTACGAAAATGAAACGTCCTGCTGCTAATCGTTCTAGTTCATCAGCCACCCAGAAGAAGAAGAAGCACAAGTCTGGCAAACCTGATCAGCAACAAAAGAAAAAGGCAGATGCTTTGCTGGAGGAGGAGGAGGAAAATGAGAAGGATGAACATGAGGAGGGGGACGAGGAGGAAGTTGAAGAGGAACGGGAACCTGTGTTGAAACGACCCTCTGCTTTGAGGCGACCGTCCTTGGACTTCAAGGAGCTCTCAAATGAGGAGCAAGTGGATGATGATGCTGATGATGATGATGGGGAGAGCCCTAAGGTGACCGCACGTGGTTTTGGGTTGCCCATTATGAAAAAGAAGCCGTCCTCAGCCGCTGCTCCAAAGAAAAAACAGAAAAACCATGTTGTGAGAACTGAGAAGCGTGGGGAATGGACAGTTGAATGGTTCCAACGTGGTTCAACCAAGGGATCCTATGCCAAATACTCAGGTCCAAAGGGACAAACTTGTTGGTCGTGGGTTCAAGCCGAGAAAGAAGGCTGTCCCACGGCATGATTTCTGCAGCCAGCAATGCAAAGCAAAAATGATGATTGGGCAGGGTGGACTCAGGGCAGCTTGGGGGGCTGATTTTGGACATGACTGAAAGGACTAAGAGTCTTGAATGATCTAACTTTTGCGAAACTTTGTTATATGTATATAATGCATTCATAAGCCAGAAACCGTGCATAGCGCCGCTAGGCAGCATCGAGGTAACTTACACATAGAATGCCGGCCGCTGTGAAATCTTTCTCAATGTGTTCATTGATGGTTGGTTGGTGGCAGGCTCTCCAAGAGGAAGAAGAGCAGGGTAGAGAGAAGGAAGCCATGAGAACAAATGCAGATGAGGCCGTTGATGTGGAGCAGGAACTTGAATCTGATGGGGAAGAACCCCGCGATCTTGATGCACAAGATTTGATGGAGCTTCTCATTGACACCGATGATGAAGCTGGTGTTGAGCTCCCAGCAGGACGCCACTCCCGCGTTAAGAGCTTTATGCACAGGCCATCGTATGCTTTGCTGGCTCGGCACGGGCTGGCAGAGATTCCAACCTCGACCGTTGGTGTGTCCATCGGGTATCACCGGACCTCGCAATGCTGGCAAGCATTTTGTCCGGGTGTGCGCACCGGACTCTCATACAGCTGGGGCGGCACCACGCATCGCACTGAGACCGAGGCACTTATCAAGTGCATCAAGGGCCTGTTGACCGCGTATATCGAAAAGTACCCTCGAGAAAACCTGTGGAAGCTTGGATGTGAAACTTTACTTGAGGTCGACTGTACATGCATAATCCGGTCCACCTATTAAAAAACACGCCCCCCCCCCTAATAAGGAAACCTCGGCCGCATTTTTTCTAATAGGGGGTCCCTGAAATCGGGGGGTCCAAAATAGGTCACCTGGGAAGAGCTTCAAAACCAAAAAGTAAATCAGTAAAATTTTATATAAAATCCTTTATGGAATTCGTATCAAAAATACAAAAAGCTCCAGATCGAAGGGTCTTCCTTTTCCCCTACAAAAACCTTCATTAGAATAGTGATTCTTCAGTAGACTAACAGCTAAAGCTTTCGAAAGGTGATGTCGCTGTGCCATGCGGTGTTGCATGACCTCGGTGGCAAGTGCGTTTGCGTGAGTCCGTGCCATTGGGGGAAGGAAAGCCTGCTGGTGTAAGCGCGGCGTGTCATGGCGGATAGACAGGGCGGACAGAGGTGGGCAATTACGGTTGTTTTTGGAACCTAATAAAAAGAACTCCTCCAAAGTCGGCAATGTTGGTAGTTTAGTAGCGGCTTGAAAGGGCGGTAATTTAAAAACAAATATAAACCGTATTTAGGGGTTTCCGACATGACTTTTTTCTAATAGGGGTCCGTTTTTTAATAGGTACTCGGGATTACATACATACACTTGGCTTCCAACATCACTTCCGGTTGTGACCGCATTCTAAGTGTAGTCTGGTTCTCACAAGATCGATCTCAGGAAGAGGCAACTGGAGAGATTGCAGCTTGCCGAGACCAATCTGGACAAGCTGGTCTAAGTTCATTGGGCCTGGAGCCCCCCTTTTGGTTTTGACTTTTCAATGAAGGGTTTGCCCGTCGCATTTTTGTTTTTTGTTTATAGCAGACCCACATGGCTCATATCATATGGTTTTCTATGGTTTTCTTCAGAAGATGTTGCTTTGAGCCAAACAGAAAGTAACAAAGAGGTGACCCTGCCCAGATGGATCCAAAGATCCTGGAAGACAACCTTCCACTCTGTCTATGCAGGCAGGCAGGTTCTAAGTGCCATATATATGCATATATATATATGCATATCATATGTGGATGAGTGAAACTTCCGACACCCTGAAAAGTGCTACACACACCTTTTTTTTGTGTGTGTGTGCACGTGTGTGGTGGTCCCCCGGTCTCTAAGAGAATCTGCCTGGAGAGAATTCATTTATGTAGATGGAAGACAAACTTCCACTGGCGGCTGTAGAAGCAGCGCTACCTGTTGAAAAGATTGCCAGATGGCATTCTGAGGAATAGCTTGCCAAACGGCAATCTCCGGACTGTCTGGAAAGGTTTTGCCAGAAGTTGCCACTAGGCATTCTGAGCTCCAGCTGACCGCTAAAGAAGGGAGAAAAGCTTGCCAAGTGGCATTCTATGTGATGGGTGGATCGTGGGCAGCGTGCGACGTCGCATTCTATGTGTCGCACATGTGTTTTTTTGGCAGTTTTTTTGACATTTTTGCCTAGCACGTTGGCATTCTTACTGTTGTCTTTGTACGACCATTCTTTGCGGTATATACATACTTTTTAGAGATGTTGACCTTATCAGCGGCATTCTATGTGTGAAGATCAATGAGGGTCCCCGGAGCGGCATTCTAAGTTTCAGTCCGACGGTATACAATAGCTACTTACTTAAGCTCGCCTCTCACTGCAGCCACCCCCCCAAAAAAAGCAGAACATCCTACCTGCTTTGCTGGTCCACGATCAAGAGCCGCAAGGCTTCGCAACAGTTTTCCTGCTGCAAAGAAGATAGCTCGTTCT